ATGGATCCCCCAGACAGAATCGAATTCTTTAGATTAACGGTTAACTATCTGGAACAGGGGAACTTAGTTCAAGCGAAAGAATTATTACGAAAGAATCACCAGTATTTTCAAGACTTGTCGCCTTGTGAGTTGTCAAAACCCACTTTACAGGAGATAGAGATAGTAAACAAGGCAGAGAAAATATCGATAGAGAATGTGGCGTGGAGTCTTCGAACTGGAGTAATTTTGTTGCCCCAGACGTCTGCTGAGAACAACTTCTTTGTCCGCTTCGTCAATGTAGTTGGTGCCGTTGCTTTAATCACGATTTGTGTTGATATAGCTGAGAAAGTATTTGAGCGGTTAAAAGAGTACATTGAGAATGCTGAAGACGAAGAATCAGTTATTAGCCTTGGAGTTGCCCTTAACAACTTAGGTTGCGTGTATATTTGCAAAGGAAGTTTTCAAAACGCAAAAGTTAGTCTTCAAAGAGCTCTTGCGATATTTGAGGTAATCAAAACAGGAAAAGAGTGTGTCACTGTCAAGGAGAAAATTGTAACAATAACAAATAACTTACGACTGGTGCATCAGGCTCAGAGGAGCCATGTGGCTGACATGCAATTACAAAACGATCTCCTTTCTAATGTAAGCCGCTTTGCCATACAACCAAGAATCACTGCAGTTGTTGATTACAATAGAGCCCTAGCCACTTTGGATAACAGAAATCTTAGAAAAGCTTTGGACGAACTTGAGACTTTAAAAGCATTTTGCGAAACAAAATTACACCAGAACAAGGGACTGTTAACCTGCATTTTGCTAAAAATCCGTTTAGTTTGTTTGATGCTTCAAATCTCTAGTGGGACCACGACATTTATTGATACTAAGATTTCGACCTTGCAAGGGCTAAAGGAACTTGTTGATATTGGTGCAAACTTATCGTTAGACTTCTCAATCACAATTGTGGAGACGATGGCCGACATTCACCTTTATCAAGGTAATCTTGACCTTGTCTGTAGCTATTTCTCCTATCTTGTACCGGTTGTTCGTGAAAGATGTGGTGCAGATCACACAACAGTTGCTTCCATTCTGTCAAAACAAGGACTTATTTTCCTCCACTTGGAAAACTTCGCACGTTCTAGGCAATGCTTTACCGATGCATTAGAGATTTTCAACGAAGCTTTTGGTGCTATTCACCCCGATGTTCTCAAATGCAATGCAGGTCTTGCGAGGCTAGAATGGCTCGATGGATGTGAGGAAAAATCTTTAACGCACAGTCAGACAGTTCTGGAAAATGTGGAAAGGATTTGCCAAGTCTCATTTGAGTGTCATTTGAAGCCAAAATTCATTGAATTGTTTTCACAAAGTGGAAGAACACCATCTTCTCATGTCGATTATGAAGAACGACTAAAACTTGAAACTCTGGTTTCTGAGTTTGGTATGGAAATAACAAGGGTTCTCAACCAGCATCAACCGACTGATCTCGGGGATTGTCCACGAACACTGTCAGAAAGTGATAATGTTGTGGTTTCTTTCATCTCCAAGGAATCATGTGCAAAGCTGAGCTTTAACTGGTTCAAATTTGGTCTTTGTTTGTTTAACCTTGGAGTGAATCAAAGTGTCGCCTTTCTCTTTCTCTCGTGTTCATATGCAAGAATATTTTACGATCATTTTGATTGCTCTGAAGTCATTTTACTGAAAGTGATTTCTGTTGTCTGTCATCTTAAATCTAAGACGTGTCAAACCTTTCCGAAAGTTCTAGAGAGATTAAAGAATGAATTCGAACGGCTGAAGAACTTCATTGAGGACAAAGCGAAGAGATTTGATAAACCGGAAAGCAAAGTTATATTTTTTGACGAAAATACAAACTTGATGATTGCTCTGACAGTAATCCTTCAGTCGTTTGTAGAATTGGAAATGTATGAGATGATAAGTGATGTGCATAGTTTATTTTCCTTCTTGTCAAACCAACAGTCGCCGCAGGTAACTCACGTAGTTCTCGTTGAAGAGCTTCGGTTTGCGTTTTGTAGTTCAAACATACAACGTCTTGGCAAACAAGTTATGCATCACCTGATCTTTTCGACGCCTCTTGGGATGAACAATCGAAAAATCATGGACGAAAACGATGCAGATGCTCCCTGCAAATCGCAAAGTAAGGAGATTACAAAATCTTCACATAAAAATGACAACTTTGGAGAAAGGAAATCGAGGCAAATTTTCAAAACTTTGGCACTCAAAACTGATAATGCTCAGTGGAAAGGATCTTGCAGATTTCTTGTGGAGTGTCCAATATCTCGTGGAGTTGACATTTCAGCACTAAATAAAATAAATGTGTGGAGTGTGAATGCAGTAGAAGAAAGTCTGCCTCACTTGATCTTATGCAGCCCTCAGAACATAGAAATGGTGATACAATATTTCATAGAATTGGAACTCCTAGCCTCTGCAGAAAGCACTCTTTCTTCGATTTCTGGTGATTTTTCCCTTTTGCCACTCGCGCTATCGGCAGCTAAGGATCGTTCAGAATCTGAAACGCAATCTCCGGTTCTCGTCAACAGAGAGGCCACTTGTGAAGGAAGCCTAGCATTTATCTTCCAAGACAAAGTAATTGCGAATTTTCTATTCGGCAAGCTTTTAAAACAAATTTTAACCAATGAAGACGAGCTTGGTGAGGTTGTGAACGTGGCAGTCAAAGACAGCCAGCTCGTGTTGAAAATCCAAGGTCCACCCATAGTGCAAATAGTAATTCAGTGCCATGAAGACACCATCAGAGTGGAAACCCACTTGATTCACTATTTTCAAAGCCGTAGAAAAGCTAAGATTGTCCGAGAAGAAGTTCCACCGTGCAGTTGCTCTTTGATTGAGATGGTCATCGCTGACAAAATGGAAAAATGTGCTCGCAGTTTTGGCATTCATTTCGAAACAAAAAGTGATAATGCCTGGTGTGTTGCGTCACATCTGTCAGGAAACGCAAGGGATATTTCAATGAGAGTAAGTGTTTTAAATGTTGTATTCATCACTGTAGGCATGAAACTTGTTTTTCAACCATGATGATGAATCCTTGTTATGCTACGATTCATCTACTAAATGTAAAATCCAGCTTACCAATATAACAAAATCAAAAATATGACTAAGTCAGAGGGAGAATGTTTCTTACCTCTTTTTCAGCTAACTTCAGGGATTTATGCATTACATTGAAGAAATCTAAAATTTGGTTGTCTTTCAAATTAAAGTACAGCTTCTTTTTGCCTTAAACCCCGTAGCAGGATCAGAAGTTAACTTTTTGCTATTGTTATAGTTTTCGATTCGTTCTTTTCCTAGGAGCACCAGCCGCTAGAAATGCAGCTTAAAGCCGAACGTCAAGGCCGTATTTCTCCTCTCCCAACCTTGCTTTCCAGACAGTCCCTCCTGTCGGAATCATCGACTCAAACAGATTCCTTGAGTATTCCCTCAACATGTGATCTTAGTACTCAAACAGAGCTCAGTGACTCTGATGAGTCTGAAAATCTGGCGGAGCCCATATCATCATCCAGTGAAGTAAGTACATCATCATCATTACCTCAAACGTCATCGTCATCATCATCTCCATCTTCATCATCATCGTCTTCCGGTGAAGAAGGTACAGATAAGGTCTCCAGAAGGTCAAGGTCAGAGCCGGAAGAGAGAGGTAAATTATCAGCGAATTCCGTCCATCTATGTGGTTTAGAATTTGAGAAACGAGAAAAAGAAGTGCCAAAACGTGCAAATTCGGAGGAAGAAAGATCTAGCATGGCTTATCTCAGTGTTTCAGAGTTCAACGATAGTAGCAACAGTGCAGAGGAAGGACAGACAAATCAACCACCAATCGTTCCGCCATCAACCTTGAGGATTCAAACTGAAGGCAAATTACGTGAGAGTACAGAAAACCTTGAGAAGTGTATTCAAACCGATGATTTGCTAGGGCGTTCTATGGATGATGAAGTTGATGGTGCAGTAAAAAATGCTTCGTGCGGTAGTTCTGCAATCCAAAACTGTCATCCTTGTTATTCCTCAACTGGATCTGCTGAACTATCTTTTCAAGGGGAAGGTGGTCTATCCGACAACCTTCCACGAATTACTGACCAGGCGGAGCGTCATGGTGGTGCCGCTGCCTCAACCAGCTGGTGCAATGATGTCACGGATGAAAACCGAAGAAATAGAGAACATAAAGTCGATTCTAAGTCGCTGCAGATTTCTCAAGGGAGCAAAAACAAGAGTAAAGAGCATCTATCAGGAAGAGGTCACAAAATAACGCCTAGGAAATTTCTAGGCTTAAAGGGTGGTGGACAAGATCCATTTTTCTCAAACAGGAGCCTAGGTTACGAGAATCTCGTATCGGTTATTAACTGGAATGACAAGGACGCAAGGCCTGATAGGGTTAGACCACGAGATGATATGCGAAACACTGTCGATAAAAAAGAATCAAATTTCATTGGTATAAGGCCTTGCTTTCTTGCTCGCCACACAGATGACAGTAGCATTACCACACATATCGATGAAATGGGGAATACAGCGGAAAACGCCAATAGAGAGTCTTCCAACACCTTCTCAAGGCATCAAGGGTCATCTCGTTTCACTACTGAGCAAGGCTATCAAGCCACTTACTCCCTTCAAGCACCATCGTTTCATTATAAAAGTTCAAAGGTATCTGCTCACGCACAAGGTCCAAACCCTTTCGGCTCCTTCGATCCCAACCCTGCAGTTGGGGATCTACCAGCGCATGCTCGTCCTCTACTTTCTCTTCCCTGCAACGGATCGGAGCATCTCCAAACCCTTTCCTGCAATGACATGCGAATGGTAGTGATACCTCCGCATGATTTGATCGATGGTGACTCGCCGTTGGCCCAATCACCCCTTTTACCACAGCAGAGAAAAGTCAAGGATCAACGTACTGATCCTGAAGTACAACGGGAGAGAAACTCTGATTTTAAGGTGATGAATGGAAATGCTGCATGTTTATCTAATACTACTTTAATTGCACAAGGTCTGATCTCCGCTCTCCCACAGGCAGCCATAAACAGAAGTCTAACATGGGAAACAAGAACACTTGCAGATCAGGACACTGCGAACCAAGGGCCACTGGGTGTCTTGAATGAAACTTCGTCTCTCTCAAATGATGATTCCTTAGTTGACCTAGAGCGACGAGTAGCCGAAGCTTGTTCCTTTGTCGAAAAAACCTTGAAAAAAAGGGAAGTAAAAGAAAAGGCAATGAAGGAAGAAGAACAAAGAAGAAAAGAAGAGCGGGCCAGGAAAGAACAACAAGCACATGAGAGAAGAGAAAGGGAGGCAAATGAAACACGACGAACGGAACACAGGAATGACAGAGAAGAAGTCAGCAACCCGATGAGTGGTGGAGGAGGAACGCCTACGCAAACCTCCGCTGGTACCGAGGGTCGACAATGGCTCTGTGAACATTATAAGCGACTCTGTCGTGTCAAGTTCCCATGCTGCGGAAAGTTCTTTCCTTGTCATCGTTGTCATAACAATTCTGGGTGTTCAAATGATAATTCCAAAGCAAGAGAGGCGTGTTATGTTGAGTGCTCGGTTTGTAGCCATCAACAAGAGGTATTTAGACATATAATTTAATCAAAATTTCATAAATCTGGAAATGAAGAAGTTATATTTAGACTATATGGGATTTGCTCTTAATACTTTTTTTGTTTTTAAGATCAACCAGAACGCCCAAACCTGTGCCAGATGTAAAACAAAGTTCTCGGCATATTTCTGTTCTATGTGTAAACACTTCACGGGCACAGACAAAAATCCATATCACTGCACAAAATGTGGTATCTGTCGGTAGGTGAAACGATATCCATGGCGAAATTGTTCGTTTTTCGTTTGTTGGATGATATTCTTGTTTTACAAAAGATTAAGGGAGTAATTGGCCTGCTTCAATATCAAGTGTTACCGTATGAATGGAAAGAAAACTGTAGCGCTAGCCTAAGCGCGAGAGCAACGCTTAATAAGAGAGAGACAAGCCCCGATCGATACGCATATGACTTAACACCGCCGGTGTTTTCTTCTCCGACTTTGCGAAATCGTATTCAAAATAATTATCAAATATCAGTATTTGCTTCCTCCTAGGCATCAGGATTTCATTCTGTAGATCGAATCGAGTAGAAATATAGGGTTTTCACTTTGCGTAAAAAACTTATTTTCTTTACGAGTCATGTTAAGTTTTGCTCGAGTATTTACCTGCGAAGTGATGTTCCTGTTTTCGTTTCAGCATCTTCAAAGACCGCTCCTTCCACTGCGATGTGTGTAACGTCTGTCTGGACAAACGGCTGGAAGGCAGACATTCTTGTCGAGAAAATTCAGGACATGATGAGTGCTGCATCTGTTTGGAGGTAGTGACTTACTTTTCGCATTAACACGGTGTTGCTTCAAAACTTCCAGAGAAGGGGATTTCTCTGTCTTGTTCGTTACAAATCGTTTCTTGTTATGAAATAGGCTGTTGTTCATAGTGGTAGTTGGATGATATCATAAGTTTGTTCTGTTGTCTCACGACAAGGTCACTTGATGTAGAACGCAACGTTTCGACTGCTTACTGCAAGTCTTCTTCAGTAAGCAGTCGAAATGTTGCGTTCTACATCAAGTGACCTTGTCGTGAGACAACAGAACAAACTTATAACATCAAATCGTTTCTTGTTTGTCGTGTCTACCTGTTAAATGATTGTCAGTGTTTGCGGATTTCGTCATCAGTTCTACTGCATTATTAATATTTTGTGTTCTCATAGCGTTGTGAAACATTATGTTATTTGTTGTGTTCTATCTACAAATTTAGTTTTGTTTGTCAATGTTTATGCTCGGTTAATATAAAGCAACTACACGGTTTTCACTGCCGTTATGTCTGGATTCCATTGGATAATGTCTCTTCGTATCATTTATACATTGGAACTTTTTCAAGAGTATGGATTTCAAAAAACTGTCTAAAGACATCCGTGACACTAGTTGCACACAAAATCGGCCCTGCAAGAGGAAATATTGGCCAACAGCTTTTTCCCATCTGCTTTAATTATAGCCTTGTTATCGACAATGAAAGTGAAATCTAGAAAATGTAATGTTTGGGAAACAAATCCAGCAAGATACTAAGAGAGCACTTGAGATTTTCTAGCAAGGTTCTGAGTACAAAAGAAAGCGTTTAATAGAATTATTCGAAAACGAAATGATTGTAAAAGTTAAACTGATGGATAATACCTGTAAATACTTTTACTTGATGGACGTTTGGAACTTTTTTTTTCAGGACGCATTCAGCGGTTGTCAAATTCTGCCTTGCTCACACAAGGTTCATAGAGAGTGTGCCATTGCAATGATACAGAATGGCGTGTAAGTATGCTCACAAAGTCGTGATTTTTTATAAATTAACTTACATAACGAAGAACGCGTTGGTGGTCCCCTCCATTTGACGGTATCTGGTTAAAATTCTGAATCAGATTTGTATGTGGAGTTGTAGCGGAGTGTGTGGGGGTTAGTTGCCTGACTCTGTTCATCTCTCGACTTCTGGCTGCGTGAACTAAGGGGTGGAAATAAATTATTGTGTCCTGCGTCTTCTTTCTTTTGAAGGAACTTGTCTTTGTTACAATTGAAACTCTCATTGGTTTGTGATATTAACTTCTAATTGGCTGTTGTGATTAGCTGGGTTTTGGTCTAACGACACTCGAGAAAAATGTTCTCTTTGCGTGCAGCTTTGGAATAGTTCTGAATCCACAGCAATGCTGGGTCGATTGTGAGCTTTGCAGTCTCTTTTAGTTTTACCCGTGATTTTACGGTGATCTTGACTTGAATATTCTCGCGTTTAATTAAAAAAAGGTTTAAGTTGCATTACTTGAAATGTTTCCTTTAAATTTGCAGTCGCAGCTGCCCAATTTGTCGCCATCCTCTATACAGTCAGACAAATGGCAATGAGTGAATGACAACGTCCATCCCAAGCCCTTCTCTTATCGCCTCGTTGATAAAATAGAGAGGACCTTGTGAATGGAGTTGGAAGGATGATTTTTTTAATTTCCTTTTGATAATTGTTAAGTGCTCAGATTTTGTAGACTTTTAGCATAAATTTTCCAACAGCTTTAGCACCTAGATTCAATGGAGTTGTCTGATCGTCCTGATAAGAAGGCTCTACCTACTCAGGACTTCTCACGCCCAGAGCCGGGTTGTTCAAGGCTGGGTTTAGATAACCCAGGGTTAGAGTGAAATCTGGTTTCAGGTCTAAAGCTGTAAGAGAAAATTCAGTCTAATTCTCTTTGTCCAAAATATGATTATCGGATGCTCCAAAAGGAAAAGAGATAATTATTCCAAAAAGGCATTTAAACAAAGAAATACGGAAACCCGGATATAGATTTAGTCCTGGGTTAGCGCTAATCGACCTTCGAACAACTAGGCCTAGATGATAAGACTACACAATCATATCTTGCTCTGAGTTTAAATCATTTACCTTATTACCTTTTTTCTTTACATAAGTGTGAAATTTCAAATTCGAACAAATGTAGTAGGTTGAAGTTTGTTAGGTACAGGTGATATGTGGGTCTCCATAATCAAGCTATCAAAACGTTATCGCAAGTTGTCAAATATTGAGTTTTTTTTACTAACAACCCAGAATTTAGAGTGGCAAAATTAAAGAACTCGTCGATGCTGATCTTCTTGTCTAGAACGCCTGGCTTAAGATTTCCTTAGGCGTATGTATCCAGGATATTGAGTTGCTTTGGCAACGAACGATACTCTGGCAAAAAAAAGCAAACAAACACGAAAAAACGGAACTAATATCATCGATTATTCTAAACGTATTGCTGCACAACACAGCATGTATTCTAAAATGATTCGATTTATCTCAGCGGTTCTTTTCTCGCAAATTTTGGCAACTTCGCGGGTCATATTCTAAGATCTTAATCTAAGGAATAGCACAGCGGTTATTCGCTCAAAACCCAGCTCGTTCTGTTTAGTTTTTTTACATTTTATATTTTGAATTTCAAAGCCATTGATATTTGATAAACAGCTTTTTAGGACCAATGATTACCGTAACTTTCAATAAACAGGCTCCTGGACAACCAAAAGACTAAACTTGTAAAATGGAACGTAAAATTTTGCATTTACTTTCACATAACAGCGTCCATTGGTTGTTACTAAATTACACTCCGCTTGAACGGCGAGCACAACTTATTAAGATGCTAACTCATATCTCCTTATCCCTGTTGGGCAAAACTATCTCACTAGTTTCGTTTTCCGAGAATCACGGGGTATCTATGGATCAATATCTTACCTATAATGTACATATCACTAAATCAGCTTCTAATTGCATGAACAGTTAGTACAGATAAGTAGAATTAAACGCCTCTTACACATGAAAATACTTTCATTACTTATAAATAGCTTTGTGTTTAGTAAACCATTTTATTGTTCCTCAGTTTGGAAACATCCAAACATAATCTACACAAACTGCAGTTGTTACACAACTTTGCTGCCAGAGTTGTATTAGGTGTAAGGAAGTTCGACCATATCTCTCAGGGACAGAGATCTCTTACATGGTTGGATGTTACGGAGAAGGTTTTATTTAACGGCTTACTTTTAGCATTCAAATGTGTAAATGGCTTAGCTGCAGATTATTTAGGCAGATATTTTGTTAAACGTTCAGCATTTCACAACAAGAACACGAGGGGATGTAACAGTTTTGTAGTCCCCCGATGTAGATTGTCCATAGGACAAAGGACATTTTACTTTTGGTGTCCAAGGGAATGGAATAGGCTAGCCGACAATAGTAAGAACACTAAAAAAATTAATAGTTTTAAGCAGATACTTTTCAATAATATGTTTCATGACAAATAATTTTGGATATATTTTGAATAATTTTGAATATATTTTGATTTTAATTAAGTTCCTGTAAATAAGTTTTCTTAATTACCAGTTTTATGTAGTAGTTAATTACCATTATTATGTAACAGTTGACATCGAGACTGAAAAGCCCTGTTGAAGGGAGTCTCAATGAAGTATGTATGTATATATGAAACACTACGTAAATACGTCGCCTATTGTGGGTTGGGTGCTGAAGCCAATCATTATATACAGCGCAAAATTATTAATGATTCAGAGAATAAGCTGCATGCTTTTATTAAGTTTCTTGTTCATTATTTCGTTTAAAGAGCTGTAATTTCAAATACATTTGCGAGTGCGACCGTATTTTTGAAGTGAACCTTTCAGTCACGTGATCGTTATAAATTAGAACTAGTATTGTGGACTAGTATTTCAGGTTTTTGATCAGTATAACGACGTTTAGAGGAACAGTCAAGATGTCATGCATGTGGGACCATAAATGTGGGACCTCTGAATTTATTTCTCAATCATTCGAAGCCCTAAAATGTCTCGGAGTGTTAAGAAATAGAAATTTGAGAGCTCATGAGTTTAATCTTTGGGTCAGGCCACGCTCAGACGCTGTATCACTAAGCTTACTGTAAACGTAGTCAAGCGCTTATTGAGCTCGTATATGACACACATCCTGCAAACTGTCAGGATCAGCAGTATGAAAAGCTTCGTGTTAGTTAATAGTGTAAGAAAGATGATGAGTCCAATTTTTTTTCTTCGTTCCACGCTCGAAATACTGAAGGCGGAAAACGTCTTTGTTCATTTTACCACCCAGCTGATGATTCATCATTTTCCTATTTGGCACATAAGGCTTTCCATATTGCTGATCCAAGCAGTATGCGGTAATAGCTTAGCTCAGCTTGGAGTCTCTGTGGCTCAGTTGCAGAACATCAGGGCACGAAGGTCTGAGGTTGGACTCCTCGCGACTCAGCATTTTTTCTTTTTCCCATTCTTGTGACCGGATCGAAAAAACTTTTCGCACGTGTCTATCCAAAACAAATGAGCAATAAGAAATTATCACATTTTTTTTTAAGATTTAGAGGATATAGAATACTGCAACAACTCATTGGTTCATGCATTTCTTTATTTTCTGACGTCAATATAAATTTTTTGGGAACTCTTTCTGGTTGCTTGAACCGTGCAAACAAAGAAATTGCGGTGCACACAGAAGTATTGAAAACTTAAGTTGAGGGATAAACAAGTTTAATGCAGTTCAGAATACATTCAATTTTCAATGCCATGTGACCGGTGTGTGGCAAGTTTCACGTCGTTCTTATTGACTCCTATCAGTTCGCTCACTTTTCTCTGGCGATTTGATTGTCACGCATTTCGCGCTCGAATTCACTTTCCACGCACCTTCCTCTTGTACCAGCGCCCAAGCATCTAAGCAGCCCCGCCGGTAGAAAAAGAAAACAACAGAAAAAAATACATCTTTACAGGAAATATCAAGCTTGTCAGTTGGTTAATTTTGGGGTGAAAATCATATGATTTTTTATTTTTATTACTTGTGGTGATTGGGCCTATTACAGAGCTCGATAACATTACGTCATCATTTGTGTAAGTAAATAAATGAGTAAGTAAGTAAGCAAATAGGCAAGTAGGTTAGTAAGAAAGTGTGTGACTTTTCAGAAGCTTTTGAAGCAATCTAATGAATGAGACCGAAAACGTTATACTGATCCGAAAGTCTCAAAAGGCAACAGTTTCTGCATCATTTTCATACAGCGATCTGTTGACTCACTTTTCTACGTACATATTTTAGCGATGTGCTTTTTCGAAATTGTTGCGCCAAGAAGTTCTATTGAGTTGTATATGGCAAGTTGTGACTCGTCACACTTGAACCCTGGCTCATTAGTTCCTTTGTTTTTTCCTAACGCTAACCCCTGGTATTTTGAACTGCTCCTCTTCATACCATTTCGGGCAAACCATATGTTAGCACCAATAAGATCATTGTTAATTGTTTCTTCAACTTTGGAGAGGTTATTGTTAGGGTAAGTTAAGATACAAATTTAATCTGGTCATGAATAAGTAAGCTCAAAAACTTTCTGATTATCTCTTTCTATCCTTCTGTTAGGTGTTTTGGACTGGTTTTTCGATCCCATCTACGTCTGTTTTTTTGTTTGTTTTTCCGTTCGAAATATCACTAGTTCTAATTGTTGATAACCTGCGCTTGACGATAATTTACGCAGCCCCGAATGTTCTAGAAATCTTAAAAACAAAAATAAAACCGCATATGAAAGAAGGGAAATCTCCTAATTCAATTTCTTTTATCTATCAGCCCACGTTTCTGGATCAGGCTAATCAATGTCCAAACATTAACCTCCTCTCAACAAGTCAAAATAGAGAGACAATTAATGCAATAAAAGGGGCTTGACTTCAGAATTCAGAGGCCAAAAGATTTAATCATTTTCAATTTTCCTTTAGTTGCAAGGAAGTTCTTGCAATTAAGTTATAATATACTTACTCCAGAGGTTTTTCATGCATGCTTATTCCAAATTTGATTTGCTAATTTTAATTTGCCATGGTGGAGCGAATCAAGAGGTGTTAGCTGTTCAAAAGAAAGAACTGGCTTAATTTACGGACTAATGTTCTCATCAACACGTACAATAGACAACATTCTATTTACTTTTAGCGTCAGTGCACTTTCAAGGAATGTATTTTTCTTTGTGGCTGCATGGGAGCTCAAAAGGGAAAGGAACGTGGAAGTTTATTCGAGCGCCAACGACAATCAAATCACCACTGAGTCACTTTAAGCCTAACGCAAAATTTGCCTCGCATCGATCATATGGTATTCAGCATCCGACCTGTTCTTCTCATGCCATAATAATTTAACATTTCTATGCGCAATGCAACTTTGGGGTCAGACCTTTTCGGAACACGAGTATATAAGGAGTTTGGGGATCTCCACTTTTATATCTGAATTACGTTTAGTATATCGTGATGAGTTATTCTTCAAAGTTAAAAAAAAATAATCGGATTATTTTTTTTTAAACTTTGATCGTTTTGATTCTTTTTATTTGCATTCAGTTTCTCTACCAAAGAACTCAACATTGATTCATAATAATTTTCGAGTGTTATCTTGGAGATATCATATTCATTTCAAGTGCCATTGTTTTCCCAGTTTCACTTCACTTCATGCAGGGATACGAGGCCTTGTGGTTTACAAAAAAGGTAAGGAATAAAGAATAAAGAATGAAATCAAAGTTTTCAGAAATGGTAAGTGAAGTGTGCATCGCAATTTCTTTCTTTGTTTCCATGGTTCAAACAACCAGAAAAAGAGTCGCAAAAAAATACCATCGATGAGATTTCGCATCTTCAAATCCACCTATTATTTCAAATAGGGGAACTTTGTGAGCTCAGGGGTAACCGGATTCATCAATTTGAATATCGAACTGTTCCCCAAAACGCAGCTAATCTTGCGGTGTCCGTCAAATTAAATCCACAAGTTTTAAAATCTACGGCATGATCACGTGAAACAACGCATATCCAATCTAGTAGTTTCTTTTTAGATTAGCACATGTCACATCATGGACATTAAACTACTGCCTAATTTTGGAGAATAATTTCAGCACTATAATTTTCATTATAGTGATTGCTTTCTTAAAACATTTTATGAGAAAGTTCACTTTAGTGTTTCACAAATGAGTGACAATCTTCAGTTTTCTGCCCGCTTGTGGACGATGTGGTGTGGTAACTAAATTTCATGCTCTGTTGAAAGATCAGCAAGCTCACGTAGTCATACGCTATATTGCGAATTGTAGATTAAATCATAAAATGATTGATTAGCGTACTAATTGTTCACGATCCACTGCCCATTGATAGCCCTTTGACTTGATTAAATATAAACGCTATTAGTAAATCGCATTATGGCATTCCCTCCAAATAATAATAATCAGCGAGCCAATGTTCTCAAACTTTATAGTACCCTGTGAGGGGTTCTCTTTCCTTCTCAAACAAGAGCATCTGAAAGCTTTTCGCTCGGTTTCTCGTGTTTGCAGGTTATGGATTGTCAACTGATCCAAATGTAAACAAACTCAGGAGTGTTGGACGACATGGGGTGACGGAACGGTAAGTACATAAGGATAATAATGTTGCCCAGACAACTATCTCCATTTCACTTCCATAACCAACGGGCTCGCTATTACATCACGCAATAAGTTTCAAACTTCGGCGCGAAAATCATTACCTCGTTCTAATACATTAGAGGTTCGAGATTCCGCGCCAGCACGTTGTACAATGGCCACTTCTACCTAACTGATGATTCTGTATGGCAGATTTCAATGATGATTTCTAAAAAAGTACATTTTCAAACACATGCCTACATGTATAGGAGTGTGACAAATTTGGCGCCAGTTTACCCTTGCTTTTAGAATGGAATATGTGCTGTAGACTTGTAAACAAACTTTGTACGTGCGTCTTTCCAAATTAGTGAGATGTAACTGCACTGGGCCGGAAGCTGCCGATGCTGAAACGGACGATCGAGGTAACAAACTTTTAAAAAGTTGTAACAGACGCTTACTATAGTGTTGATTATTTTTTCTGACTTGTAATTCTGCTTATGTTTCCGTGATTGCTTTCTTAAAACGTGTTAAGAGAAAGTTATACTGACTGAATCCCAGTTTCTATAATGTCAATTTTTTTCAAAACTAAAGTCAACCTGGCAGATGGAATGACCTGTTCCAATTGTGACGTTAAGAATTTTCTGTGACATGAAATTTTATAAAGTTATCGTCGAAAAGACCAGACAGATCATTAAAAATTTAGAAGGATTCTTGATAACACTATTGACGAGAATGGAATATTTCCGTTAGAATTTTCTGGAGCCATGCACAGCTCCTTACGAGACCAAAACCATGCACAGTCAACCCACATTTGACGCTTGAGGGCCCGTTTCTCGAAAACTATGTGTGGACCAAAGCCATAATTTCTAAAAATCTAATCCATTAACTTCTTCTAGTTGTCCCTAGATATCTAGGGATGACGATAGATTTTTTAATTTTAAGTATCGATACCTTTAACTCGAATGCATCCACAGCTTGAAATTTCAAGCGATAGCTATACCGAACGGTATTGCTCACCTTTGTGGTCCAGTAGGTATGTGTCACCTTACAGGAATGTCTGTTTTAAGAGGGTTGACTGTAGTATTAAGGAAACATTTCTAGCAGAAGCTTATAATATAGTAGCTTCCAGTCTAGAAGCAATAATACACTAAGAAATTAAAACTAGCCACTTTATTCAAAGAATAAGGAGAAAAACCGTCACCTGAATCCACGTACCCGCTACAACGCGAAGATGATGTTTTGCCGTCGTACACTAAGCGGAGAGAAGGGGGAGAGTAAATTACAGACATGCGCATTGACATATTTTGCAGAACAGTTTTACTTCCGGTCACCGTAGCCGTCGGAGAAGAGTCACTGCTTAAAGTTCCTAATGGCTTCGACAGTTGGAAAGTTCTTTCTTAGTCTAGAAATTTACAAACCTGCAATGCAATC